CGAAAATATCAATATTTGTCGACCCGTGTGAAGGGCGCCCATAGGACAAACCCTATGGACAAACCATCATTGTTGATGTATATATAAATATAGTTCCACCAATTCCAAATAAAACATTTTGAGCTATCGCCATTGCTTGATGGCAAAATTGTGAATGTATTTGCATATTCTTTTGTAAAAGACATATTTTAGTTACAGTTTATCAATGGCAAAAATAGACTTAAAATCTTAAATAGTCAATATATAAAACATTGACACCAAAAATGGTTCTTATACTCCTTACTATTTGTATATTTATTACATACATACAACATATCATATATTATTTTATAGTTCCATGGAATCACATCAAGATTAAAATGTGTTAGAAGCTAGAGAAGAATAATTGCAACTTAATATATTCGCAGGCGATATAACATAATTGCTATTGCTTTATGTAAATGTAGTTGATAATCAAACTTTCTAAAACCTTCAATTGTATGAATGCTTCAAACTATCTTTAATATTTGATGTTAAGAAATATTTCTTTCTGTTGAGTCCTAGACCTTTTGTTTTTAATTCAAGCAATCAAACTGCCAAATTACTGTAATTATTAACAGCATAGGTCATTGATAATCAGCTGAATTTTAGAACTGCTTTGAGAAACCCTATTTTGTAACGAGACACATTACTTCTTGCATTATTGTATATTGTAAGGTCAATGGGATAAACTACTTGATGCACAGTAGATTTTATAATCTTAAATATAGTTGCACTCACTATTGTATAAATAATGCTATTGTTATAATAAAGTATTACTTTTGACTTTGTGTAATAGTGTTTTCGAATTCTTTGATTCATCAGATGCACAATAATTAAACTTTTCTAAAAAAATAAAATAAATTTGCCAGTACTCTCAGGAATTGAAAACATGATAAACTCTCAATTTTTGCCTTTTGAGTTTAGTGGTTACTGTAAATATCATTAAAAAATATCCAATTTTAAAAAAAATTTGGAGACCTGAAGAAGTTTTGGTGCCAATTGAAATTAAAAATTTGAATTAAACTCAGAAAATTTCATAGCAATGGGTAAAGTCATTCCTGATGCAAAAAGTATAAGAAGTAATAGTGAAGGGTCAAGTGACAGAATCAAAAATCAAAAGAAAACTTCCCAGGACATTTCATCAGTAAGCAATTTATTTTTGATTGAAATTAGACTTGCATTAACATGATAAACATCCCTAAGGATGAAGTACTATGAAAACAGTTGATACATAATGTTCATCAAGAAAAGTGGTCACCGAAAAAGCAGATGTTTATATGTTCTGACCACTTTTGTTCTGGTTGCATTGTCCATACTGTTCTGTTCTCAGAAAGCAGACACTTATATGTTCTGACCACTTCTGTTCTGGCTTCATTGTTTATTGTCCATATGTTCTGGCTTCATTGTCCATACACAATCTTTTTACTGAGCTAGATCACCATATTTTTGACTCACCAGTTGGTGAAAATCATGTTATATTTCAGTTGACCAAGAGCATCATCAAGAGTTACTGTGAGGTTTAATTTTACCATTTTGGAAAAAAGACCACTGAGAATTCATCTGGACAAAAAATTAGAAAGAAATTAAATAAACTTGTACCTTTTAAGCACCAGTGTGAGTGATTACACAGAATGTATCAGAGAAAGCTAAATATTACTAAAATTTACTATGAAACTGCCCAAGCTGAAAGTGCAGACTCTGCCTCAAACATAATTTTACTAAAATTTATAGTGAAAACTGCCCAAGCTGAAAGTGCAAACTCTGTCTCAAACGTTTCACTAAAGATTTAGAGTGAAAACTACCCAAGCTGAAAGTGCAGACTCAGACTGTCTCAAACATTTCACTAAAGATTTAACAGTGAAAACTGCCCAAACTGAAAGTGCAGACTCTGTTTTTTTACAGTATAAACTGCCTACGCCGATAGTCGAAACGTTACTTACCAACTTCCATTTCCATAAAGTTTAAGTGGTGCCAGAAACCGTAAGTACATGTATTGATTAGACGATACTTCACCAGAGAATCATTCACAGATTCAAAACAAATATATAAAGAATGTCGTAATTCGAAATTTTTAGCTTTAAAATGCGATTCAAAGACATCAACATCGCCAATTAATGTTTTTTTCTTGTACCCTTTTCCAAAAAAGCTGCGATTTCAAGGCAAACGTACCTCAAAAAGGTATTTTTAATCCAGAAATGCAAAAAAGCCTCGAAAAGTATAGTATTTTCTATAGCATTTCATTGATGAGTGGGAACGACCAATATGGCCGCCGCCTATTTTCATGGGGGAAACCGCTGAGAGTTTTGGCTTCAGTTTTGTATTCCAAGATGCGCTATGTAGTGTATATGAGATATCTATGGGGTCTGCACAAAATTCAGATTTCGTGACTAAACACCCAAATAAAGGCTTGTTAAAATTGACCAATAAAAACACAGCTGGGGACAACCCTGCCAAAAGAAATGCATTTCATCGTGCGTAAACATGTCAATCAAAAAAAATAAATTAACTCATGACATTGACCAATCCCATATTTACGTTCAAATAAAGCAGGCCCTCTCATTCTCCGTTCGTCTTTTCCGTTTGAACGAGAGGCTACTGTGCATGGGTGCATTAATTTACTCAAGTTTTAGAAAATACTACTTGTACTCTTCTTAAGCGTCTATTTAGTCAAATTATGTATGTACCTCGCTTATACAATGAATTGGTGATTTTTTTTCGGTAAGCATAGGCGTACGGGACGGGGGGGGCAGGGGGGGGCAGCTGCCCCCCCCAAAAAAAGATTACGAAGTCGAAAAGTCGGGCAAATGTTCAACAAAAGTCGGGGAAAAGTCGGGGAAAAAGTAGTCAAAGCAATAAAATCTCTCTTAATAATAACCCCAGTTTGTTGGGCAAACAAAGCCAGTTGGGCAATATTCGCTTCACAGTCGGGCAATATTGGGTTATTATAAAAATAAATGGGACAAATTCTACGAATTTTGCGGGAAATTATGTAAATTTTTTGATGTTTGGGAAAATTTTTTGATATTCTGAAAAATTTTTGTATGTCCGAAAAATTTTGGACCCCTAAAATGGTACACTGACCGAAATTTTTTTGGCGACGGGGGGGGGGGGGTCGCCAAAATTTAGTGTTCCGGAAAAAAAATTTTTGGACACTGGTCGGGTACAATTCGAAAAAGTCGCGCAAATTTCTTTCTGCCCCCCTAATTTGTTCCTTCCTGTACGCCTATGTCGGTAAGGAGTACGTTTATACATTTTGTGCATGCAGCTGATAGTATAATTATACAGAAATGTGGGGTTTAAAATACATCTGCGATCAGAACGTAAAATAAAAAAAAGGTGAGCATTGAAAAGAACTTACACGAATAGCAGATTTCGGTCATTGTGTTTGACTGATGTTTTCGGATCCAGGTCGCCGTAGCGACATTTAGGCCTACTTTTGCCAAGATCGTGTCATTTTCATACGTTATGTAGATGTTGACCTCTTGAGCTGTGGTTTTAGTACCCAATCTCCGAATACTAAATGGTGCGTCACAATTCCATTTCTGTTTCTTCTCAGTCATGTTACACTCTTGAAGATCTAGGTACCAAGTTTCATCAGTAAAAATGATTTTGCCTTGCTGAATACATTTTGATGTTTCTACATGATATAGTTGGCTGTGCCGAGTCCAAACCCATCGTTGGAAGGAATCACTTGAGTTGCACGTTGTTGCTGTAATGTTATGTGGTCGAACATACGTTATGCATACCTTTGTATGTTGTTTATTTTGAATCATAAACCAGTTCTCTCCCACTAAAAAAAAAAAAGATTCGTTCAAATAGGAATTAAAAGATGTCAGTAAAAAATATGTATTTCATACGTAACGAGTATAAAGATTACTGCATTGTTTAGTTTGTCTTTGATTATATACTTATGTAATGTGTGCCTATTCACGCACACGCATTATACCATATAATAATACCAATGCCGAATACTTTGCCTGCAAAACACCAAATTTTCCCCGATTAATTTGGAGATGCCAATACGAGCATCCATACTCATTCTTTCTTCTAAACGTATATATATATATATATATATATATATATATATATATATATATATATATATATATATATATATATATATATATATATATATATATATATATATATATATATATATATATATATATATATATATATATATATATATATATATAGGCGAATGTCAATAAGTATATTGAGTGTCTTTTGTCTCTTATATATATATATATATATATATATGTATATATATATATATATATATATATATATATATATATATATATATATATATATATATATATATATATATATATATATATATATATATATATTGTTATCCGGTAGCCGGTCAATTGTCGCCAAGTAAATAAACTTGACACTTAGAAAAAAACTTCACCCAGCTAGTTTTATACTATGTAAATATATTGAAATAAAAACACTATATAAAAAGTTGGATTAGTATGTTCTGCTTTTTACAGACACTTAGAAAAAAAATTCAACCGGCTAGTTTTATACTTAGCCGGTCATTTCAGTTGTTAGCCGGTCGTCAGCCGGTCCAATTTACTGGGATTTCTATTCTTAGCCGGTCATCTTCTGTAGAAAGTAAATTCACTCGACACTTAGAAAAAAACAGCAAACGGCTAATTTAATACTTATAGCAAACTAGCCGGGTGAACTCTTTTTTCTAAGTGTCGTGACTAAAGTTAGAGGATTGATCAAGGTTTATACGACACTTAGAAAAAAACTTCACCCGGCTAGATTTATAGTTAGCAGGTCATTTCAGTTGTTAGCCGGTCAAATTTACTGGGATTTCGATTGTTATCCGGTAGCCGGTCAATTGTCGCCAAGTAAATAAACTTGACACTTAGAAAAAAACTTCACCCAGCTAGTTTTATACTTAGCAGGTCAGGCCCGTTTTATACGTCGAATTTTGGTCGCGTCGAATGCAATTAAGACAATAGATAATGAGATGATGAACCTCATTAAGCTTCATTATCTAGGCCTATTGTTTAAATTGCATTCGACGCGACCGAAATTCGACGTATAAAAATGTACAGGCCTCATTTCAGTTGTTAGTCGGTCGTTAGCCAGTCCAATTTACTGGGATTTTTATTGTTAGCCAGTAGCCGGTCATCTTCTGTAGAAAGTACGTAAATTCACTCGACACTTAGAAAATTTTTGACCATCGCGGCTACAATAAAGCCGTAGCGGTCGTGTTTATTAGTAACACTAAACTCAGTCTGGAAAGGTGCAGCCACTTAGATCTTAACAGTGGCGTGCATGCAGTTTAACGCTTTGCCCAGGGCGTAGTATTTCTATTGTCAGTAGCATTTCTATATGTCAGTACCATTTCTATTGGGATAACGAACAAAATGAACTGGGTACTTAGATTTTTTTAAATATATTTTGAAATGTTGGAAAGAATATTTTTAAACATTTTTCGTTTCCATGATGATCGTAGAAGAACACTTACAGGAACAAATGGAAGAGAATCATGCAATTGACATTTGTAATGCATCTGTATTAATTGTTACAAAATTTCTTTCATTTCATACTTATAATTATAGCAAAAGCAATTAACGCTGTACATTAAGGTGTCGCACTAATTTTAAAGCTCAGCCCTCTTTCTTAAAGTATTAGGAACACGACATGCATTAAAATTATATTCCGGATGACGTAATATTGTTGACCAACGTAAACCAAATTTCCAATGCCCAATCGTATACAATTGTCTTCTTCAGATGTAAAGCGAACACCTGGGTTTCTAATTCGTGGGTCGTAGTGGTTGCAATGTCTTGGCACACATGCTCTTGCTCAGATGATGACTGCTGTTGCCTTTCGTATTCAATCTGTGAACTATTACCGCCCTTCTGTCAAGTAATTTTTGCATGCACTGGCGTCCTCTCATCGCTACTTCCCGAGATATTTTCTTTTGATAGTGAACACGGGAAACGTTAGAGCTATGCTTTTGGTCTTCAGATATCTTCAGTGTGCACTTTCCGTCTCGATGATCGGTCTGTATCTAGTTGGGTGAATGTATTTTCCGACGGCTTCGAACACCAACACACTGAAAAGATCTGTAAGGCCTGTTTTATATGTCGAATTTCTGTCGCGTCGAATGCAATTCAAACAATAGATAATGAAGCTTAATGAGGTTTATCATCTCATTATCTATATTGTCTTAATTGTATTCGACGCGACCAAAATTCGACGTATAAAACGGGCCTAAGTTTCTGAAATTGTTTACCATTTCGATTTACCAGCACATACTCGCTAGTGGGTGTAAGAACGGATCTTATGTACGTTATATATTTCGCCAATAACTCGATGCTGCATTCGTCAAAGTATACACTATCAAAGCCGTACCTTTTAGCCGTCTTGAATATTTTCTGATCAACCATTCCTTCGTTCTTTTTTACACTTTCAAACAATTCGCAAAGTTAGGTGCTGGTAGGTCATTGGACGACAACCTTTCACTTTCAGGAACATATAAGTGCAACGAATCGGGTGGCAAACGTCACATCGCCAGTTTTGACTGAAGAAGGAGATACAATACAATTTTCTAATACAGATTTACAACGTTCCTCGTGAAATGGAATTACAGATTGTACTTCGGAAAGGGTTGCCCAACTTCTACGAGATTCCAGGGTCTCTATGTCTAATTCGGTTGTCCAATTTGATCTCATCTCCTTAATTGCTAAACACTTTCTTGCTCTTTTCACATACACCCTGGTAATGGCAAAGTTTTGAAGCACTGATGCAAGGGGACGATTAAATTCGCGAAAATCCAGTAAGTCTGAAATACTTGCCACGTAAGAAATTTGTGCTGATTGTCCAAGACCCCACTTTTCTTTTAGACTGTCCACGAATTTTGTTAACAGTTGTGGAGACCCCAAGGCATAATCGATCAAGTTAGGAGAATTTAGCACGTCTTATTCGCCGTCGCCATTCTCGTCACAACAAAACTTTATAAACTTTAACGTTCTGCTAACTGAAATGTCCGATTGTTTGAGAGATTTGCCGCCGCCGCAGCTGCTTTGAAGCCACTTGGAAAACGAGCGAGCATAGTGATTATCTGTAGAACAGCCAGGAACTGTTTTACACCCTTTTGGCTGCGTTTCTGTGCTTGCAAACGGCGAAAGGCACACGTTGGGCTTTTCATCAAAATAGTAATACCAAC